AGAAAACACTGAGTGTGTATTGTAGTAAAGAGTTTTTTGTTGCATACCCGTCTTGCCTTTTGCAAGGAGTATTTATACCTCAAAAGCTCATGATTGCTGTCAGTGTAGTCAGTAGGTGATCATTAGGTACAGGCAGTGTGCGCACTGATTCTGATGAGGAATGTCTTCTCTTCTTAACTGCTCGGGGTCCCGAGCAATCAATGCTGTGTCATCGGGATGCCGACAGTACAATGTACTCCTCTCGGGGAAGATGCAATAAATGCTCTGTATTAGGAGCATTTATTGCCTTTCATTTCCGAGCCTTACCGCATTGAATGCGGTCTCATCAAGGGAATGATGTAATTAATCGTTTGCTTTCCCAAGTCGCGTGTCAGCAACGGCATGCGGTTTCTCTGTCTTCGATGTGATATCATATGCCACGCGTCTATCCCCCATTGGTTGTGGCCCTTGCATTCCAGTATATTCTGACACTAATTGTGTAAGACGAGGTCATGATGAATAGCCTAAACTAGCCTAGGCTAATGACCTGTACGTCAATAGCTTATCCTGGAGTAGAGGAAGCATCCAGGACAGGGTACCTCTTGGCACCGAGGAAAGGCCATCTCGGAACCGAGGGAGGTATACCGACCGAGGTACCATATCAGACCGAGGCTACGTGTTGGTTGTAACTCGTACTGAATGCCATGATCCTATATGACGAGTACCTCGGGGGCGAGGACCTTTATGCGCCGATGGTGCTTGATCTTAGCAACAGTGTTTTGGTAAATACCGAGGACACGTGTCTTCATCATGAAGTATTTCAGAAAAGTCCCATCAATTACGAATCTGGTTCTTCTCTTGCTTTTTTTTTTTTAATTTTTTCGGCTGGTTCGTTGGAACAAGACCAAGAGCAGTGCAAAAACAGTGGCGATGAACAGTGGACAGTGCGCACGATGAACAATGTTTTTTTTTTTCAACGAGCAATGTTTATATAATTTTTGTGATTTCTACGAATCAAAGTTAGACTCTAATACTAAATTGATATAGACTAGGAATGAAAGAATTAAGGATGACAATAGAAGAAAAAAAGGACGAGAAAATAGAAAAAATTTGAGGAGGAAGCAATATTAATATTCAATAATATCAATAATAATCAAAGTGTTCCAAGATAAATATCATATCTTTTATATGTATAAGGGCATCTCCAACCGTTACTCAAATTTAAACTCTAATTGAAATTTGAGTAAAAAAGTGTAAAAAACTTACTCCAACCCTTGACTCAAACTTATATTTAATCAAGGAAAACTTATTTTTTTATTCAAATCAAGGAAGACTCAAATTTTTATTCAAATCTTTAATAGTGAAATTTCACAATCTTTTAAAGATCCAATGATCATCCTTACACTTTTTTCAATTTGGGTTTGCTCTCATTAAAATTTGGGTCTCTCCTTCTTTAAATTTAAGTTTGTCTATTGGAGTCATTTATATTAAATCAAGCTTTTACTCAAATGTTAGTTTAAATTTCAGTAAAAATTTAAATCATAGTTGGAGATGTTCTAAGGAGAGCACAAACTCTAAAATAAATTAATAATCAAAATGACAACTAAGTCCCTAAAAAATAAAATGACAAATAACTTTTAATCTCTACGACTGCACCTCCTATAACGAAATATAATTCGACTTTTATCAATTGGACTCTAATATGAGTATTTTGAATTGTACCTCATAGGAATGCCTGGAATGACTGCTTATGTTTGCTTTCATGAGATTTGCTCTCCAAGGAAAGGAGAGTATGTCTTCATTTCAGCAGCAGCTGGAGCAGTTGGCCAGCTTGTTGGGCAGTTCGCCAAATTGATGGGCTGCTATGTTGTTGGAAGTGCTGGAACCAAAGAAAAGGTCTGTCCCCGTAGAAGTGTTCACTGTGTCAATTTATTGGTGAATACTCGTTAGTGGCTGCCGTAAGTGGCAGCTTCTAGTTTGCGCTGTCATTAACGGTGTGCATCATTGAAATAAGCGGCTATTAAGAATATTAAATGCTACTTTCATTGTGGTGCCTTTCTTTTGGTGCTCCTCAATAATTTGTTTGCTTAAGAAGTATACCTGTCAACACATAATTGCATTATCCGTCGTTTGATAGTCGAATTTCCTTCTTGTTACAGGTTGATCTGTTGAAGAACAAATTTGGGTTTGACGAGGCTCTTAACTATAAAGAGGAGCAAGACTTAGACGAAGCTTTGAAAAGGTTAGTGTTTGTAGATGCTCTGAAGGGTCAATGCTACGCAACAAGAAATTTCCTACCAAATTATGTGAATCAGAATGTAGTCCATTAGCCTCCTTGCGTTTCAAAATGCCTCCAATATTTTCCTCCATACGTGAATTCCTCCAAATAAACTACTATGGTAACATGAAGCCTTAAAATCTTTGTTGTTCACCAGGGAGAACAGAAATGCTGGTTGGATAAATTTTGATGTCCCAGACTCTCGGTGAAGTAAACCATGGCGGAATTCAATATGACTCCACTGTACCTTTTATCAAGAATAGGGTGGTCAGATTAATTGGATGGCTTCTTAGTTTGTATGGTGACCATTGGTGCATCGTTAAGGTTCCCCCATTGTGACCATGCGGGTGTAAGGTTGCTTGTATCACCCCTCCAAAACACCATAGTAACGGAGTCTCGTGCACTAGACTACTTTTTATGTAAATGCGTATGGTTTAAATGCTACTTTCCATCTCAATTTTTCTGGGATCGGTGTCTATCAAAATTCTCCATCTGTGTTCTTTTGTTTGCCAGGTACTTTCCCAATGGCATCGATATCTACTTTGAGAATGTTGGAGGAAAGATGCTTGACGCAGTGCTCATGAACATGAGACTCCGTGGTCGCATTGCTGTCTGTGGGATGGTCTCACAGTACAACCTTGAACAGCCTGAAGGAGTTCACAACTTGTTCTGTCTTATTACAAAACGGATCCGTATGGAAGGATTCTTAGTTTTTTATTATTATCACCTTTATCCCAAATACCTGGACATGATTCTACCTTACATAAAAGAGGGGAAGATTGAATATGTGGAAGATATAGCTGAAGGCATTGAAAGTGCCCCGGCAGCTTTGATTGGGCTGTTCTCCGGCCGCAATGTTGGGAAACAGGTCGTGGTTATTGCTCATGAATGATGCACTTCACTTCACTGTAAGTTCCTTGGCTTTGTTGTTTGAAATAGTACGCTCCATGGCANACCATTGGAGCATCGTTAAGGTTCCCCCATTGTGACCATGCGGGTGTAAGGTTGCTTGTATCACCCCTCCAAAACACCATAGTAACGGAGTCTCGTGCACTAGACTACTTTTTATGTAAATGCGTATGGTTTAAATGCTACTTTCCATCTCAATTTTTCTGGGATCGGTGTCTATCAAAATTCTCCATCTGTGTTCTTTTGTTTGCCAGGTACTTTCCCAATGGCATCGATATCTACTTTGAGAATGTTGGAGGAAAGATGCTTGACGCAGTGCTCATGAACATGAGACTCCGTGGTCGCATTGCTGTCTGTGGGATGGTCTCACAGTACAACCTTGAACAGCCTGAAGGAGTTCACAACTTGTTCTGTCTTATTACAAAACGGATCCGTATGNCAACCTTGAACAGCCTGCAGGAGTTCACAACCTGTTCTGTCTTATTACAAAACGGATCCGTATGGAAGGATTCTTAGTTTTTTATTATTATCACCTTTATCCCAAATACCTGGACATGATTCTACCTTACATAAAAGAGGGGAAGATTGAATATGTGGAAGATATAGCTGAAGGCATTGAAAGTGCCCCGGCAGCTTTGATTGGGCTGTTCTCCGGCCGCAATGTTGGGAAACAGGTCGTGGTTATTGCTCATGAATGATGCACTTCACTTCACTGTAAGTTCCTTGGCTTTGTTGTTTGAAATAGTACGCTCCATGGCATGCGTTTTATTGCAGTTATAATACTAAGTTTGGTATGTAATAATGCTTTTGTTTCATAGTATACTGAGATGAACTTAAAAATTGAATGAAATATATATTACCATCTAAAGTTTGACAACAACTAGTATTAAGTGTTGAAATAGAATTGAAAATCTATTCAATTCAAATATCTGGATGCTCTTGATGACATTAGAATAATATAGCCATTTTTTATGCCCCAACGTCAAAATCTCAAACTAGGACTCACCCNGGCATGCGTTTTATTGCAGTTATAATACTAAGTTTGGTATGTAATAATGCTTTTGTATCATAGTATACTGAGATGAACTTAAAAATTGAATGAAATATATATTACCATCTTAAGTTTGACAACAACTAGTATTAAGTGTTGAAATATAATTGAAAATCTATTCAATTCAAATATCTGGATGCTCTTGATGACATTAGAATAATATAGCCATTTTTTATGCCCCAACGTCAAAATCTCAAACTAGGACTCACCCCATGTCCGAACCATGGTCTAGGACCGAGACCCGGCAGTGGACTCAGACTTGGCCTAGACCTAGATCCAAACCCTAACTCAGACCAGAATCTCAATTTCGGGTGGTGGTGATGGTGGTTGCTTGTGATGGTGAAGGTAGTTTTTAATAGAAAGTACAACATCATATTAAGGAAGAATAATGCTACATGGATTTAAAAAATAGACTTAAAAATTAAATTTGATAATCTCAACCATTGATTTCACTGTGGATCTCAGCATTTATTGAGACCCACTACATATTCAATGGTTGAGATTATCAAGTCTAGTTTTTAGAATGAACATTACTTAGCTAGGGTCATTCTATTCCCATGTGATCGACCACGGAATGCTTTTGATTCCAAGAGGGAATTTTTTTTTATTTTTTTTTAAATTTGCATCTGTATCTTAATNATTAAATTTGATAATCTCAACCATTGATTTCACTGTGGATCTCAGCATTTATTGAGACCCACTACCTATTCAATGGTTGAGATTATCAAGTCTAGTTTTTAGAATGAACATTACTTAGCTAGGGTCATTCTATTCCCATGTGATCGACCACGGAATGCTTTTGATTCCAAGAGGGAATTTTTTTTTATTTTTTTTTAAATTTGCATCTGTATCTTAATAATAATCAGCAAGTTTCAACTTCTTGAGCATACTTCTTTTTATGAAAAGAAAAGGAAGGCAAAGAGGGAATCAGAATAACCGAACTTTTTGATCATGTTGAGCAGGAAATTTTGCCCTGGATCCTTATGTCCATATTCAGTATAGTTTTCCATGAAAAACTTGCTTTGTGAGTCCAAAAACTCTGGATTTGAATACGGAACCAAAGAGAAAATTTTTGTATCACGTCCAACTTTTATTATTTTAATAGATATTTTTATATCAAAAAAATTAACCACTTTTACAAGTGATTTATTAATTTTGTGGGTATTTTATCACTTTTGTGAATATTTTTATTATCACTTTTTTCGGACCAAAAAAATTATCATTTTTGTGGTGATTTATTACATATGTGGTAGCCACATTTATGAATGAATTTAGTATTGTTTTGATAATTATTTTTATCATAGGGCCCTTAAATTTTTTTTTTAAGATTCAATTAAAATAATTTTAGGGNCGTCCAACTTTTATTATTTTAATAGATATTTTTATATCAAAAAAATTAACCACTTTTATAAGTGATTTATTACTTTTGTGGGTATTTTATCACTCTTGTGAATATTTTTATTATCACTTTTTTCGGACCAAAAAAATTATCATTTTTGTGGTGATTTATTACATGTGTGGTAGCCACATTTATGAATGAATTTAGTATTGTTTTGATAATTATTTTTATCATAGGGCCCTTAAATTTTTTTTTTTAAGATTCAATTAAAATAATTTTAGGGCCCCCAATTTTAACAAGTATTGTAATTTTAGATAAATTTATGAACTAATAAAAAAATTAACACGACATTAATGAATTTGATTCTAGTTTTAGTAGATTTGGATGATAAATTAACGAAATTATTCAATTCCTCAAATTAGAAGGTCCATATGACACCAATGAAACGAGACACAAATTTATTAAATTATACATGATTATAAGTAGAACAAACATATATTAAGTAAATTTTGAAATAATACGATCGAATGATTATTCTTATATTACTTTTATTTTTTCAGTCTTACTTATGTTTATGTAAATACAAAAAAAAAAGTGAGTTATCTCCTTGCACAATACTTTTAATTTATTACAACCAAAATCAATTGGCGGATTAATTATGTATCACCCAATTTTCATAAATTATATTTNGGTTATTCTTATATTACTTTTATTTTTTCAGTCTTACTTATGTTTATGTAAATACAAAAAAAAAGTGAGTTATCTCCTTGCACAATACTTTTAATTTATTACAACCAAAATCAATTGGCGGATTAATTATGTATCACCCAATTTTCATAAATTATATTTTTTCCTTAAGTTCGAGATTTTTTTTATCTAGATCCAGTTTTTGTTCAATTATTTGTTTAAATATACAAGAAACACACATAATGACAAAAAAAAACATATTGACTTTGAGTAGTTTAGAATTCAAAATTCTTATTGACATTGATTTTTTGAAAAACAATTTAGTTTTATTAATAAAATTTAATTTTTTTTCTTTATATATTTAGCTCATAGCAAATTTAATTATATCTGACGAGCCCAGATTCAAACCAGGTCTAGGCCTTGTCCATGTATTAAGTCTAAATTATCAAAAGGCAGGCCAGACTTAACCTATGGCCTCGGTTCAATCCAAAACTCAAGAGTGCAGGAAGAGTTAACGCACGTAGGAGAGCAACCATCAGGATAGGCATTACGCCAAGATAGTGCATATCCCCAATAGTAACTATCCTCCCTCATAAATTAATATGTTGATCTTCACGTCACAGTCTTAGCTAAGGCTTTACACCTAGAAATTGTAAACCTTTGATACATGGAGGCAGATCTCTCACACACCACACCTTGAGTTTCCTCTTGTTCTCTCTCTCTCTCCCTCACCTACTACTTTATTCTCTCATTAATAAAGTTCTTCGGCTACCATCGCTGCCTTCCATGGTTAGGTCGCCTAGACCCAATTATCCAATTTTTGTCTTTTACTATTAATTATTTCATTAATTATCTTACATCATACACTCAACTGATTTGATTATTCATAAAAACTACTTTTAAGCATCATCAGAATCTTAGTCTCCAAATTCAACTTCAATTAATAAATTTTTTATAACTAAAGCTTGAATTCAAAACTAGTATTTACATCTCGAATACGAGAAAATTATTTTTAAAATGAATATATATATTAATATTTATTTTATTTTATTATATCTATATTATTATTATTTTTGATAGCATTGGGCTCTTCTAAATATTTTCGCCTCGGACCCTTATATTGGTTGGGCCGCCCCTGCTGTCCAATTCCAAACGGAACGCTCACCACAATATCCACTGTCCAATACATGCAATTAGGATTGTCAAAAAATCATTGTGTGAATATCGTGTTTGAGTTGTTTAGTGTCAAAATTTATTTAATTTATACTCAATTCATCTTTTAGTTGTGTCTTATTATATTTGCGTCATGTATAAACTGTGTTTTCGTAGTATTTAACAAGATTATGTTATATTTAGTTAGATCTATATCAACTCATTTATTTGTGGAGTTTAATGGATTTAATCATTAATAGTTCAAACCCACTAAAATTAAATAATTTCATGTTGATTTTGTGTTGTTCTATCAAGGATTGAAATTTGACGTAAAGGTAAGTCTACAATTAGTAAGGTGTACAATTAATTCAGGTAAGTTTGCAATTATTAAGCCATTTTTATCTCTATAAAAGAGGACCTCTATATCACAATAAATGCTTATCGTGGTATTCTTCCAAACAAACTATTCTCCAGATGAGAGGAACTAGGTCTAAATTACCAAAAAGAATTGTTCACATTACATTCTACTTTCCAATTATTTGCAATTGATCAACAGGTGCAAATGTGGCACATTCCTAAGCTGTTGTGGGCATTGAATATACACTAATTCTTACTTTCTTTTCACATCTTTATTACTCATTCACATTTTATCAAAAATTTGGCATATATTAATTCAGGAATATGTCTGCAAATAGTCATTGTTATCTCCATATAAGAGAAACCCTAAATCATAATATATGTTTATTTTGGTATA